AAGGAGGGTAGGCCCTCATCTTCGGTGCGAGGACTCTCGGGGTCCGTGGAGGAGTGAGTGAGCTGCGGAGGGAATAAACGCTCCTGACCGCTGGTGAGGTGGGAGACTGGTTTGTTGGAGGCGGGGGGGGGAGGGGGAAACTTCAGCCCCGTTGGGACTTCTGGGGGAGGTCTTGGTTGCTTGAGGGGGCATACAGAGGTCCTGTTCATTAAGTTGCGTGACAGGGGAAGCCATGGCCCCTTGGGGCAGGCAGGGGAATGTACTGGTCCTGCGGTTCCTGGTTGTGCTGACTGAGCTCTCGTTGTAGCTGTGCCTCCAAAGACAGAGGCAAAGGCCAAGGCACTGAAGGCCAAGAAGGCTGTCCTGAAGGGGGTTCACAGTCACAAGAAGAAAAAGATCCGCACATCGCCCACCTTTCGCAGGCCCAAGACTTTGCGACTGCGGCGGCAGCCCAAGCACCCCCCGAAGAGCGCCCCACCGAGAAACAAGGATGTATGGGATGTTGGGCTCTGCCCTGCCACAGGGCTTGTGGGGTGGGAGCAGCCTGATGCGTGGGCTGGCACGGGGTTGCATGCCCTTCTGCAGGTCCCAGAGTGAGACCTTGCCAGTGCGCTGCCCTGGCAGCCGAGCCACACCTTGGTGGCAGAGCACTGGGAGAGGGGTTGTCTTTGGGGTGCAGGTGATGATTTCAAGCGACCAAAGCCTGAGAGGTTGTGATTAGAACTTTTTTTGGCAACTGATGCACCCCAAACTTTCTTAGATGGTATCTGTGGTATTTGAAAACCCTTGAAGTGCAGAGATGGTGTCTCCCAGCCTTCTGTTAACCACAGGGTCTCTTTCCTGCAGGCTGGACCATTATGCCATTATCAAGTTCCCTTTGACCACAGAGTCAGCAATGAAGAAGATAGAGGATAACAATACTCTAGTTTTCATCGTTGATGTCAAGGCAAACAAGCACCAGATCAAACAGGCTGTCAAGAAGCTGTACGATATTGATGTGGCCAAGGTCAACACATTGATCAGGTGAGAAGAGGGGGAATAGGTCACTGGCGGGAGTGAGGTGCTTCAAGAGCCCAGAGTGGCTTTTAGTAGAAAATGTGAGCATGTGTGAGTTTCAGCAATGTTGTGAGTACTCACAGGAGGTGTGGGATTAAGCTCCGTAGCGTTTTCAGTGTTAAAGTTTAGATAAATGCAACTTGTGACTGAATGCATCTTGGTGGAAGCAGGAAATGTTGGCAGACCCAGAGGGTTGACTTTGTTGGGGAGCTCTTCCAACACTCAGGGAGTCTTGTGCAAATGATGTGAATGTTTTTTACCACTGAATAAAGTGATGTTTCCAAAGGAACCACTGATGCACACAGCTATAGCAGGAAGTGAAGCAGGTGGGAGGAGTTGTGTGTGTCTGTTCTCATGCCTCCCGTTCCTCTCTAGGCCTGATGGGGAGAAGAAGGCTTATGTCCGACTGGCTCCAGATTACGATGCGCTGGATGTAGCCAACAAGGTGAGAAAACTTTGAAACTTTGCAGCTCCTGTTGCCTTGTATCTCCTGTGCCCAGTTGTTCTTCCTGGTGTACACGTGAGGTGCTTGTGCTTTAAGCACAACGGCACTTCAGTGTAGTAGCTAGACTGGATCCAAGAGTGTTCATAAAGCAGACCACATTGTCTAGCAAAACTAACTCAGTTCTGGCTGGAAGGTTGTGAGGTTAGGTGGGAGAAGTTACTGAGAGAATTGCTGCTTTTCTTCAACTCCTCCAGGGAGGGACTCCACTCCATAGTACCAGAGCTCTGGAGTGTTAGCAGGGAGGATGTCCTGCAGCTTCTGGGTTGACATGGCGTTTGTCCTAACAGCGTTCTTGGCTAGCACTGTTGGCAGCTCATTAGAACAGGGGGAGTGATGGCAAGAGGCCCTGTTAGGGCAGGGGCACCGCTGTGCTGCTGGCCTGGGTTGAAGGAGGGGTTTCTGCCATGCAGGTGGCTGTGGTGCTGGAAGTGGCAGACAGTTTAGTCCTCAGCGTGGTTGAGGTAGGCAGGAGGCAGTGGTGGTATGTACTGCAGTAGGGGAATGGAATGTGGCTGTGGGTTAGCACAAGGGTCATTGGGGAATAAATATATAAAATGGTAGTGTAAGGCACCTGGGCAGGTCTGGGAAGAAGCCTGTCTTTGGAGGACAGGAATCCTGGGGAGATGCAGTGATGTCTGTGGTGGAGGCTCTGCCTTTCTGCTGCTGTAACATCTGTTTTAATGTGCTTTGCTTCTTTCCAGATTGGAATCATCTAAACTGCATCTACCAAGGACTGTACAGACAGGATAATAAACCCTGTGACACCACTGAGGGGCTCTTGTGTTTTGTGACAGCACAGACCATACAAAAGGGAGCACCCCAGAAACTTTTGGGGCTTCATTTCAGTAAAGGCGTTCCTCCCTCCCTCGTCCTTCCTGCTCTAGCCTCGTACTAGGTGGGCAGAACTGACTGCTCCTTGAGAGTCCCACCCTGGGATCTCCTGGATCACTGACCTGTTCTCTTGGCTGTCGTCGGTAAATGTGAGGTGATGCTGTCCTGAATCTCAAATATCTCTGTTTACCCGAGGCCTCTGGTAACCTCCTGCATTTTGTTGCCCTGTATAATTAGCATGTTTGTGATCAATGTTCTTGGTGTCCTACATAGCTTCCTTCTGGAGCGTACCACAGGCTGATGAGTGCCCAGGAGATAGGTAGCAACTGCAACAAAAACCTGTTTATGGTTCAGATCTGGCATGAGTGGAGTGTCACACCATTTTCCAAGTGTATCAGCTTGCTTATGCTGCAAGGTTCACTTGACAAAGCCTTCAAGCTAATGCCATCACAGGGGCTTTGTGTGGCTTTTTTCTGACGTCATCCCCACTCCCCGTGCTGCAGCATTTGAATCGCAACCTGGTTTCCCTGACACTGTCCTTGTTATGTTGCCTGTAACCTCACGGAGTTCATGGTCCTCATCAGGGCTGTTTCCAAATTAGCTGCTGTTGCTGCCTTGGCAGTCTTTTGCTTCCTCAAATTTGTAGATGAAACCAGCTTTTTGGAGCGCTTGGAGAGTCACGAGTGTGGAGTGCTGGGTGAGGCAGGAAATGGAGGTGAAGTACGTATAAGCCTTTAGGGATACTTAAGTATTTGACTGAAATGGTGAAAGCTGTGACCAAATATTGACTGAGGTAATTGAGCTCTTGGGCAGTGGGACACAGAGTTCCTCTGCAAGAGGCTTGAAGTGTGGTGGATGGAAAGGGGGAGCTATCCCAGTTGTTGCTGTGCTCAGGACCTCGGGGTAAAGCTGTGCTGGGCTGTGTGGCCCTTGGTGTGAGACCCTTGCCATGGCACTGGGCAAGTGCAGCTGGAGCTGCCGGGCACACCGTGAGCTGCCTGTGATGGGCAGGCTGTGGCATGGCTGTACCGGGGCGGTGGGGTGGGAGAGGCCAGCTGCCATCGCACCCTCGCCCTGTCTGAGGAGAGTGGCTGTGTATTGCAGATGTGCTCGCCTTCCTGCAGGCAGAGCTTGGCTGCTGTCGGCCTGCTTCTGAAAGCTGGGGTTGGAAGTGGGGGCTGCCCGCAAGCACCCCTCCTTCCCGGGCCCCATGGGATGCTGGGCTGGGCTGGGAGGGGAGGCAGGAGATGCTCCTTCTGTGCTCTAAGGGGTGAGAAACTGCTGCTTCCCTGGAGGCTGGTCCCCCCTGATCTGAGGGTGCTGTGCAGAGCAGTGTTGGCACCCTGGGCGCAGGCAGGAACACAGACTCTTGCCCCTTGCCCTGTCCAAGCCTGGGTCAGGGGCTGGGAGAGCAAGGGCTGTTGGCAAGTTGTGCAGGGCCGGGTAAGACTGAACAGCAGCCCTACTGCTGAGCGTACGGTGGTGTGAGGACCTGGTTCAGCCCTGCTTTCTCCTGGGGTTGCGTCTGATGTTCCTGCTGGGCTGTGGGGTTGAGGGCACCAACCCAACCTCCTGCCCTTGGCCTTGGTGCAGCCTGGGAAGGGGGTGAGCAGCAGCAACGGCTGCACTGTGCAGGTACGTGCTGCAGTGTGGAGGCTGGGGAGGGACGTCGCATCAGCATGACTTGCAGTCTGCCCTGACCCTGCCTCAACTTAACCCGGTGGCTGCTGCTGTCTGGCACTTGGCTTCCCTGTGCTTGCCTCTCGCTCTGGGCTGGCAGCCAGCCTGACCCACAGCTGCCCCAGCCGGCCAGTGCTGTGCTGCTAGGAGAAGCTCCGTCTGGAAGCCGGGAGGGCAGCAGGGAGGAGCTGGGCTCCCTGCTTTGGGAAGCTTTGTCATCCTTCCATCCTGCTGGAAGGGCAGTGGGAGTGTGGGCTGGTCCCCTAAGCCTGTGGCCTGCTGGGGCAGAGCTGTGTCTGCTCTGTGCAGAGGGACAAGGGGAAAGGTGCAGTTATCAGGGTGAGGGGAAACTAAGATTTGGGCTTGATTGTGGGGTATTTGCACAGTGTCAGTGCACAGAGGCTGTGGGGGCTTAAGCTGCAGCTGGGAAGACGCGTAGCTGTTGGGATGTGCTGCTGAGGGTAAGGCTGTGCCCTTCTGGGACTCCCTGCCACTTGGTGCGGGGCTGCTGAGCTCTGCTTTGAGTGAGGAGGGGGCAAGGTGGTGGGTTTGAAGCTGGTGTATGTCTTTGCCCACGCAGTGTCCCAAGTATCTTGTCTGGATAGCTCTGGCTTCCAGGCTGCTCCCGGCACACCCCCCCTGTGCCTGTCACGGCATCAGTGTGTGCTGGGGAGCCCCAGCAGGATCCTGGCCCTGTGGGGTGTTTCCCAGCTCTCTGGAGGGAGGGTGATCCCCCACTGCTTCCACTTAATCACTGGCTTATTTCAACCGCAGCGCCTGTCTCTGCTTGAGCTGGGCTGGAGTGAGGTTGGTAGGACAGATCCTGCCCTGGAGCAGGGGCCGGGCAGGAATCCCTCTAAACCCCACTGTGCCAGCCTGGTGCGATCCTGGAGCTGTCACGTAAGCAGGATTTGCCTTCCCGACGCTCTGGTGTTCCACAGGACCGGCTGGGCCGGTTCTGGCCCTGTTCCCCCTGGGGAGCTGAACCCCCTCTCTCCTCCCACTGCTCTGGGGGGGCTGCTGGAGGCAGCCTGGTCCTGCCACTGCAGGAGAGGGCCCAGCATGCTCGCAGGGGACTGGAGCTGTGCTGGTGAAGATCACTCTGGGGGGATGTGAACATGCAGCGGTCTTCCAGGAAGAGCCTGTGGCCTCACGCAGCTTTCCCATGCCAGTTCCACTTCACATGGCTGCTGGGTGAGTCATGCAGCCCAGGCTACTTGCTGCCAGGCTGGAGACAGGCAGGTCAGGGGCTGCAGGAAAGCTTGGTACCTCTCCTGGCTCCCTTTCCATGCTCCCTTCACAGCCCTGTGTGTCTCTGGAAGAGCAGATAAGTGAGGAAGAGTAGAGGAAACCCATCTGTGGGAGGGATGGTGTCTTGCTACTCAAGGCTCAGCATGGTGCAGCTGGGCTGGTAGGGCCCCTCAGGCGTAAGTGCATCCCTGGAGGGTCCCTAGAACAAAGCGAGCGGCAGAAATGTGCCCTCTCCCTCCCTGAGTACTGCCAGCCCTCTGCTGGGAACAGGAGCACATCTTTTCCCATGGCCCTCTTCCCCCTCCCCAAATCCTCCCACTGACACTGCCCCACAGAAAAGCCACCCCAGGCACTCTGCGGCAGCAGTAAACAGACCAATTTTAATGCACATAACACCCAGTTACCATAACACCATGGGAGGGACTTGTCCCTTCCCTTGCAACCCTCTCGGGCCACAGCTGCGAATCACAGCCACCCCTGGCCCTCCAGCTGCCTGTGTGGAAGCCGGCTTGGGCTGCTTTTCCATTGTCCATGCCCCTGGCTTCGGCAGCGTCCCTGTGGCTCGGTGAGGCTGTTGGGCTGGTCCAGCAGGGAAGCGCTTTTAGGCAGCAGAGCGTGTGAAGGCAGGGCCCGGGGCCAGGGAGCGAGCCCTAAGGCACATCAGAGCAGGTTTGGAGAGCTCAAGACCTCCAGGAGTGGGAGCCCAGGTCCCCTTCAGCATGTGAGTCTCAGTCTATCAGAAACTTCTCACCATCCACGTCTCTCCCTGCAGAGCCCTTGCGCAGGGAGGGGAAAAAATCAGAGCGGAGGAGGCGGGAGAAGTACATGAGGATCATGGCATCGAGCAGCAGGAGGTTGGCAGTGAGGAAGGCACCCTGGCCCTGCACCTCCACGTAGCGGAGGAAGTACCAGGTGAGGTAAGCCTGGGGTGCCAGGCGGAAGGCGAAGTACATCACCAGGTTGATGTACTTGTTGGCCTCGTAGAGCACCGGGGAAGGCACATTGCTCATCTTCAGCAGCATGCGGATGGTGAGGAAGATGTTGCTCACCTCCACCAGTAGCAGCAGCATCGCTGCCACTAGGAAACGGCCCGTGATGATGAGCGAGACGAAGGCAGAGATGGCCTGGGAGTGGGAGGGGACACAGAGCAGGGTCAGCTCTCCTCACCCTGGGAGAGACAAGTCCTTCCCCACCAAGGTTTGGGCATATGTGGTGCTGCTCTCCCTCCCTATCCCTCGAGATCTCAGCAGCCCCCAGGCACCTGGACCAAGGGAAAACCAGTCTGGAGAGCCAGTTCCCCTGGGACCAGTTATACCTCCTTGCACAGGGAGCTGGGACCAGCCTGCGGCTCTTCCCTCGCCCGGCGCAGCAGCCTGTCTGGCTCCTGGTGCTTGGAGCCGACGCTGGCAGGCGTCCTGCCCTGCCGGGTGCCGTTGCCTTGATGCGCAGCCTACCTGGCAGCCAGGGCGAGGCAGGGGGAAGGGCTCTGGCTTGCCCCACTGTAGCCCATAAAGCCAGCATGGGCTGAGCCCTGGGGCAGGCGGTAGCCCCTTATGTACTGGCCCTTTGCCTCCCGGAGGTGTACTCACCATGGCGTGGTGTACCAGGTACTCCCAGGAGGAGCGGGACTGGTGGTTGAAGATGATGTCAAGGCTGTCGTGGATGAAGTAACCTGTGGGAGGAGGGAGAGAGTGTTGAGGGAGTCCGGTTTGAGCACCATCACCCACTGCGGTATGGGGGAGCAGCAAGGAGGAGGAGGGTGGCATGACCATGCTCCAGGCACTGGAAACACCTCTGCTCCAGCTGAGTGTGGGGAGTTGGCTGAGCCCCGCTGCTGGCAGCCGGCAGGCTCCACACTCATGGTTAAGGCAGGAGGCACGGAGAGTTGCCTGGCCTCTGTGCCGGGGGCTAATCCCGGGCCAGTGTGCTGAGTGAGGCTGCAGAGAGGGTGAGCAGAGCCCAGGGGGGTAGCCGTGGTCATGGCCCTGCCTGGCTCCTTACCCGAGGAGAAGCAGACCAGCAGGTGCCCTGAGACGCTGTAGCCATCCTGGATGTTGGAGAGCAGCTCCGGGGAGTGCCAGAGGCTAGAGGTGAGCAGAGAAGGGAAGAGAGTCACCCTGGGTGCCGAGGCAGGGTGCTGGGATGGGAGACACAGCGACGCCGTGCACTAGTGCCTGCTCCCTGGGGGCCCGGAGCCCCGTCAGGGTGCGCACCGTGCCCCCACCCCCCAACCCGCCCTCCCGGTACCTGAAGAGGGCCCATAGCCCAGCGAGCACGGAGTGTGCGAAAG